GGAATATGACTGGGCTATAAACAAGGACAAATTTGAGACATTTGTAAGAAGATGGATGAACTTGGAAAATATAATATTGAGTGAAATAAACCAGATGCAGCAGATTAAATATCATATAGGGTCTCACATTTGAGTGAGGCAAAGTATGAAAAGAAGAACTAAGAATGAGTAGAAGGTGACAAGGAGATAGATCTTTTGCATTAAGAAAGGGATTCAAGAGGATAAGAATGAGAGAAGTCAAGAGGAGGGAAAGGGAAATAAGTAGAAAAAAGATATGCCATGTGCAGGAACCTGATAGCCTCAGTAAATGTAAACTACTTGCTGCCATAACACGAGCTAGCTTTAATAATGTCCACAAGAATGGAAATCTGCACAGCTCAGTTAGAGGGGGCCTGAAGGTAGGGAAGTAAGGGGAAGAAAAGTTAAAAAAGAAACAAGCTGTATTGTGTACATGTACCCAGTCCACAAAATTATTGTAAATGCCATGTCCTGCAAAAATGTATGAATATACTAAGTTTTTAAAACAACTTTACCTGATAGATATACAAATACACCATAAGAAAATAATTGTTGGGGCTGGAGAGACAGCTTGGTGGTCTAAATGCCTGCCTGGCAAGCACAAAGACCCAGGTTCAATTCACAGTATTGCATGCCTTGCCGGCCCCAGAAACCCAAGCACTCCATGCCAGCCCCAAAATTGAGCATGGAGGCACATGCCTGTATGTAATCCTGGCGCTGGAGAGCCTCAGACAGGAGGATCATTATGAATCTGAGCTGCATAGTGAAACCCTGTACCAAATGCATAAATAAACAATAAAATAAATAAATGTTTAAAAGAATTGTTGAAAACTATCCCCAGAACATAGTTACAAAATCCTCAATGAAATATTAATAAGCAGAATCCATAAATGTGTTCAACGTTCTGTGTACCTATCCAACAGCTGCATCTTACTTATCCTTGCTGTCCACTCAGCCCAGGTGTGATGACCCTTCCTAGGCACAGGGGGATATTGGATGACCATGCTGGCATGAGCAGGGAGCTCTTGTGCTCTGTCTGCTGCAGACTGCTGATCTCCCCATGCACTGCAGGGCAAGCATATGCAAAGATGCCCTTTCTTTCAATGGAGAACTATAGTTCGGGAAATGAAGGCAACTTCTCTTCCCCTACATAGAGATCCTGTCAGTGCCTTTCCTCAGCACCCCATTCAGATGGGGTTATGGACAAGGCATGCAGTTCATAGTTAGGAACCCACATGGATGACTGATAGGAATCATCCCCTGTAGGGCTTCCTCTCTCCCACTACTTATAGCATCTTCACCTTGGATGGTTATTCAGTCTTCTTCAATGCCTGGTACTCAGAATAAAAACTAGACTGGTTCAGGGTACCACAGCCCTTTTCTGCTAAAGCTATGTCTCTGCTATTTGCTAACAGGGTCTATTTTCATAGGCAAAACAGAACATTGAGCTATATGTCCCTGAATTACTACAGGAAGAATCCTGCTCTGTGTTAGAAGCACCAGGGAAAAAAACCCAAAAATGTGGAGCAAATAACAAGCTTAGTAGCAAATTCTTGTAAATGCCAATGTACTCTTAAGCAGTGTATTTGGAGAAATGAGCAGAGACATTTTAAAAACCTCGGATCTAATAATTATTTGTCAACCACTATCATTTCTCTTTGAATAGAGCTATTTAGATATTGATCAAGCACTTATCTCTGCATACTTCACTCTACTTTTGTTTGTTGCACAAATTCAATATTTATCTACCAGAGTCATTCTTCCTTTTGATTTTACCTCAGAACAGATAAGCATATATCTTTTCGTACTATTTTATTTTTTCTAGTGGGTGTAGCAAGTGGAAATGGCCATAAAGTTGGCTTCACTATAGCTGGGTAGGACAATGGAAGCTTAGCTCATGGGAGAACATGGGCTGTGGGCCTCATGGTTCAGAGCAGATGGCCCACGAGGGAGAAAGGATCTTTATAAAGCAAAAAAGACTGGACAAATGTTGCCCATAAGGGATGAGATTCACCCTTCTGTGTATTATACAACAGGTACCTTGAGTAGGAGGGCTACTGTGATCGCAGAACATTTTATTTCTAGCATGGTTTTCATTTCCGTAGAACTATCTCAATACGACCTTGGTTCCATCTCCCACAGAAGTGTTGAACAGTTGAAGTATGTCACTCAGATTCCTATCACTGTGGCAAAAGAGCTAGATTCTCTTCCAAATATGGAAGTTTTTGTCTTGGAAAATGTGAATTAGGTTCTTTTACTGTTGCATAAAACAAATATTTCACACATTCATTTTACCTTTTGTAATTTTAATACATCTTTACATTGTGCATTGTTTAAATGAGGTTAAATTATCTACATACTCAAATATTTATCATTTTTCCATGAATATTTTCTCTATCTATCTTCTACCCTCTGGAAATTACAATGGAGTACTGTTGTGATTGCCAACCTGCTATACTGTACGCAATACACCAGAGCTCTACACTCCCATCTAAATGAAAGTCATGTCCAATAATAATCTTTTCCCACTCATCTCTCTTCCCTGACTCCAGACCTTAGGACACTTTGACACAAGAAAAGTAGATAAGAGTCCATATCAAATATTCTATAGACAGACACTCTTTACACAGCATGACTTCACTGGAGGACAGGGCTCTGCCTATATTGAGGTCTTGGTCTGAGGCGTGGGGATTGGTAAGGAAAGTGATCAAGTTCCTCACAGAAAAAGAAAAGCAATGGGTTTTCATGCACTTTGTGCTGCAGGCTAAAGTCCAGTAATTTGCACTGGTCTGGAAGATTGATCCAAAAGCTATTTCTTTCTTTTGCTCATTGATGATGCCAAGGAGCTACTGAATTACTGTTGTAGCTGGTTTAGTCAGTATGCACATATTCTGGTCTGGTGATTTTTTCTGCATCTTATGATACAGCTGAAGGGTTTTACATTCTTAGACTACTCTAATTGTTGAATGACCACTGGTGGACCCAATGGAAAAAAAAAGAGAGTAATATGTGGAACAAAGGCTTGAACAGGCATAGTCCAAATTATATGTGTATTAGTAACAAAATTAAATGTATATTATCAACCTCTCTATTTGCAGAGCTGAGTAAAATCTTACTCAAAGCCTATGTTAGGTTTGTGTGTAGTTGTCCCCCAAAATCCTTATGCAGCCATGGGGTGGGGACTTCTAGAGTTTGCAATTAACTCATTTTTTTACAATAATTTTGTTGAGAAACAAATGGCAATGAGACAGTTTCAAAACCGATTGGTAGGAGAGTTTCAGTAATTAATACATTGCATATTGTTGTCCTCTTAGAGGTTATTTATAGTACAAGATGCAGACATGATATCCTGTCCACAAACACTATTAGAACAAATCTTTCTATTCACTGAATTAAGAGAAAGTAGCTGTATATCTATCCTAACTTTTGAATATACAGATACAAAATGGTCCTTCATTTGCACCCCTTTTTTGTTTAGTTTTATCAGAGAAGGGTATTCCATTGTCATTTAAATATTGTAGGTGCATGAATTCAGCAAAATATTCCAATATAGTCCAGCAGCCCATAATAGTAGTAGGTTTTCCATAGGACTGGCAATGTCAGAACTTGTTGACTTGAGCCTTTTACAGCTCAGCATATTAATATGGCTTTACTTTTTATACTTTGTTTTTATACTTTTCTGCTGGATAACTCATGAGCAAGGCTGGGTTTATGGGTTTTAGTACTGCTGGGATTATGGGTGTGAGTACTTCCCCCACCCTGGGGCAGATAGCCTGAATGCAATTTAAGGGAGACAGACTTCCTTTCTATAGCCATTGTTGCTACTACTCCTCCAATTTACTCTTGCTCTTTGTTGCCACCATGAACTGCTGCCCTCTGCCATGTGCCAGTCTGCCTTGGAGCCAGCTGAGTATGGACTGAAGTCTCCATTAACTAGGAGCTAAATAAACATTTCCTTCCTTCATTTTGGGTGTAGAGTATTTGTCTCAGCAAGGAAAGAAGAGTAACTGAGACAGTCTATCTTAGCAAGGAAGGTAGACACGTTGTGAAGACAGACATAACAAGTCTTTCTACTCTTTTCTTTTCTTTTCTTTTCTTTTTTTTTTCCCAGAACTGGGGATTGAACTGAAGACCTTGCACTTGCTAGAGAAGTGCTTATTCCACTAAGCCATCTCCCCGGCCCCTCAACTCCTCTTTTAGTCACCTTTTAAATTTTTCCAGGCCCAAGGAAAGAGTCAGTGATTTCAGTAAAAGCAACCCGTAGCTTTTGCAAAGGAGCACAGATCGTTGCTATAATAAAACACACTTCAGGTCCATTATTACACCAAATCAGGCAGGAAATTGTGATATGTTAACCAGGTGTACATTCTCTAAAATTAGTGTTAAGCAAAATACATCAGACACACATTAAATATCACATGGTTTCTCTTATATGAAAAAAAATTATCTGTATACTTGTGAATAAATACAGATGTTAGGAAAAGAAAGAAAAACATATATTATAATCCATTGGGTACAATTTATCTAAAAGTATACTTTGATTTAATACAATTGCTTTTTATTTTATATGTTCTTTGGTTTACTCATCTGTTTTCTTTTTAAGCTCTATATTTGCTTTCATCTGGTAGAGTCACTTAATTCTCCTTTTCATCCACTTTGCATAAGACAGGCAAAAGGGGACTGATGTGTGAGAAGCAACAGTAGTGGTTGAAGTCCCCAGGGGTGGACACATGATCACCAATTACAGTGCAGGAAACATGGCCCAAATTTCACTTACACTTATTTCTGTCTCATGTATATACTTGTGTGTATTGTAATGTGGGTCCAATTGCAGTAAACATAATTGATAATTTCTAAGAACACAAATAGTACAGCATTTGCTCAAGAAACAACTTTATTGTTAGGTAGGGTTACAAAAATCACAGACTATTAGAAGCCACAGCATAAGGATGCTTGTCCTAGGAGCACGGGGCCCCAGGACTTTATAAATTCCAGCCATGAACATCACAGCTCTTTTGTGGATCCTTGTACTCCACAACAGAAAAGGTGCAGTTCTCCTCATTTAAGATGACTTGGCATTTTTTTCTATCAAATTCCACAGGCATAGGAGCTCTGTCATAAAGAGAAAACCAAGATGTGTTGAAAGCACAAGGATGCCAGCACACTTCTGCCTAGATTAGCTCAGCCCGGGATGCAGCCTGCATGCCATACTTTTGGCTGGAAACCCCAGTCTGGGAACTTTCTGTGCCTCAGAGACACACAAGCCATGCCTCATATACACCCTACACTCCTCCTTGCAGGTACAGAAGGCAGTGGACATTCTGGGAGGCCCAGGGACAATCTGACATGCATTGGAACAAGAAAGCCTGTCCAGCCCAGACTCTGCCATCTTTCTTGTTCAGGAAATGGATAGTGCTGCTGCTGCTGCTGCTAGAAAGTGGGAGGGAAGAAATAACTCACCTGGCAAGGCCACCAGTCATCAGAAGTGTTAACTCCACTAAGAGGAACAAGGAGCCACCAGGAAGAAGTTGATTAAACTTGGGTCACCTTCCAGGGAAAATCCACACCACACTCAAGGGAGCATGACTTAGGGCTCATTGGACCTTAAGCTTATCTCAAGCTCATGAATCTGTACTGCCCAAAGTGGGCACAGGAGACAGCCCTAGGGCCTTGTGTGACAATGTGTCCTTTCAAATTGTAACACTGGACTTTTGGG